TTAGGATCACAAAAAAAAATTTTAAAAATCTCTTGTAACAATGACTTCTCTGCCCTCCAACTTTTTCTCTTTATGCTGTCTGTGAATGTGAGTCTCCAGATGGGTTTCGAGGGGGGGAAATTCATCAAACATATCCTGTCATGGAATACTAGGACAAGAACTGTGTCATATTTCAGGTGATCAAACAAAATTTTCACCGAGTCATGGCAATTAAAACTTCATGTTTTGTTGTTGCTGTTGGTACTAATGTGTTATCAAGTTCATTTGTCACCCTTAACAAAAAAAAATCATGCATGCGGGGAGATTAGAGTTCAATCTGGATGGTCATTCATCCAAAGTTCTCATTGAAACCAGAGCAGAAACAAAGTTATACATTATCTTGCTAAATAAACTCAAGACAAAGTTTCCTGTTGTCTTTGTCCACTGGTCTCTTTCTGTCTCTCTCAATATTTACTTTTTTCACAACTTGTGAAGCAGCCCATCAGGAAAAGTCCTGCGTCTCCCAATGGCCACTCTGTTGCCATTTAACAAAGTTTCTGCAGTTTTGTATAAAACTAGTATAAACAGAAGAAGTACATCTGTAGTTTTGGCTTTTCATCAATCATTTTCTCTTTTTGAATTTTAAAAACATGCTTAAATTAAAACCATCAAAAATTAAACTAACATGGTTTGTGGTGGAGGTAGGCATAGAAGATGGTATCATCAGCATATAAGAACACCTCAGTGCTGATTTTGGGAAATAAACATGTGTATAGAGTAAAAAACAGTGTGCCTAATACTGATCTTGAGCAACACTTTATTAAAAGCCTTCAGTAAACTGCATAATAAAAACACATTTTAAGATTATGGCAGTTAAAACAGTAGAAATTAAGACTAAATGAAAGCTGTACAAACCAAATTATTGGCATAAATCACACAATTTATTGATATTTCTTATACATACATCAGGTTTGTCTCATCATTGTAACATTTTATACCAGTGTCCAATTTCAGCACATCTTAGAAAGATAAAAACAAAGTTGGTGTGTAAGTGATTCATTCCTTATATACCAAAGCAAAAAAAACAAAACAAATCTAAATTTCCTGAACACAAATCATCAGTTAACACCTGTGACTTCATCTTTGAACACACTGCTTCTTCTCCCCCTGGTGGAAATAAATTTCCTTTTTTGTGTTTCAATATAAATCTGCAAGTGATGCCAACAATACCCTGTGCCTTAACTAAACACTGACACTGCAATAACATAATAGTAACATATTAATAACCAAAAGAGAATGGTGATTTACTGGTGAGTCATTTTGGCCAAAAATCAATGAAGAAACTTCCAGAACCAAACATTTCAGCTTGACATAAATTTGTCATTCATGTCAGTGTGAACATCGTGATTCTACTTTAGTCCTGTCCAGTGTAAAACATTGGCATACACAAGTAGAACATGCAATATAGGTCAAATAAAGGAATTAAGAATAAAGGAACCACCAATCTGGTTAAAAGGGCTTAAAGGAAAACCAATAATAATGAGAGGTGGAGGGAAAGCATCAATATCACAATATAAAAAGTAAACAAAACAAAATAGAACTGATAAAATTCACATAATTAACTCCTTGCTTTATGAAAATATTGATTTAACTGGAAAGAGTCAGAATGGCCTTTAAAAATCTGTTTCTATAGTTTACATTCTATCATACGAGACTTTCTCACATGCTGCTCTGTGATGATGGAGGTCATGTTTCAACTGATTTTCCCTTTTACACATGTAGTTAAAATTCCTATCAAACAAACTTAGTGCCAACAGCAAACCAGAAAAAAGATCTGTAAAATTAGCCAACTCAGTTCATATGGAACTGCTAAAGATTTAAGCAAAGAGAGAGCAATTTACATCGATTACCAGAAACCTATACATCACCAAACCAAAGCAAGCCTGTGTCTGAGCTTTAATAAATGGCAATTCTGAACATACATGAGTAAGAAGCAGATATGTGATATACTGGTCATCGTGCCAAAAGGCTTAAACATCACAATAGCTCAAGAGTCCTCAATATGTGCAATATTCAATGAAAAACTCACTACATGATAACTGGAAGTTTCACATATTTGACCAGCCCATTAAAAATCAATCAACTGGAACAAGTGGCTCCTCTGAAAACCATTTCTATTTAAAAGGTACTGATCTAAAAAACCTCTGAGTAATAAAACATGCTGTGGGTGAGAAATCCCGCAATGAACACCACACACTCTCACTACAAAATGATATTGTCAGTATTTGAAGTTTTCTCCCTCATTTTTTTTTTTTTCCCCCACATGTTACAATAATCTTCAGTCCAGCACGACAATATGTAAACAACACACTGAGAGGGCGGAGCTCTAGCTATCATGGGCAGGGATTGATGGACACTTTGGCGGGTGGGTCTTGTCAGCTGACTGCTGTAGGCTGGAGGGGTGTTGTCGTCGAATATCGTCCTCTCAACTGGAACACAGATTACATCTGGATTAATGATCAGATAAAAACCCTTCCAGAAAATACACACAACATTTTATTGAATCTTATATCCCTTTACTTTTATTTTGCTTGATATCTTTTTAAGAAACTGTAATCATTTTCCCCATGGTTATGAAAGTTTCACTTTCACAGTAACAGTAGTGTAAGGAGGTGCACATGTAATGAAATGATTGGTTGAAGATAAAATGTATGAAAGGCCAGAGAAGTCATTGTACAACTGATTTTTCTTTTATTTAAGATCCCAAAATAAGATGCTTATAATGTTTTATAATTGTTCACCGGATGGACCTTTGTACAAGGAGGAACTGTGTAATATTTCAGGGTGAGTCAAACTCATTTTCACTGAGTTATGGCAATTTAAACTTTATTGTTACTGTTGTTATTAGTTATAATGTGTTTACAAGTTCATTAGTTTTACGTAAATTCTCGAATAAACACAGGCATTTTAAACAATATCCAACTTTCCATTTCCACCTGGTGTTATCATGGATCTGTATCTGAATGTATACGGGTATTATCTGGAAAATGACAACTACTCCACAAAACCTTTCATTTACTCCATGGTAATACTAATAAGACAATAAATAAGTTATTTCAATCCTGCCTTCACCCTTCCAGATGTGGTTATCACAACATGCTGTGCATTTACTTATCCAGACACGATGACTGCATGTTAATGCCAGGAGTAAAGGAACAGAGGGTCAGCATTAAGAAGGGGGTTTGGATACGTCACATATTAAACATAAATATTAATGTACATTTCTCGCATCACTGTTACATCAGTCCTTCCTGTACCAGTACACTGCTGTCACTCTCGCTCACTTTCCTGCTTTCTGAGGTATGACAGCAGACAGTGACACTTCCTGCAATGTTTCAAACTGAAAACCAATGGACTGTCTATAAAGATGGATGACATCACAGCTCGATCTCCCCCTGGTGGCTGACTGGAGTATAGGTCATAAGCCCCCCCCCCCCTCCGTGTTAGGGATGGGCCAAGCTAACCAAAAAGCCAAGTCCAATACATTTTAGGTCGTTCTCATCACGCTGATGTTTGTAGTAAGTGTTCATCTTTCTGATTAGTTTGGTTAATGGTTTCTTCATGGTTATGTATGGTGATGGCAGACGTTTGGCCTTGTGGATCTGTGTTTATCAGTTCATCTAGGTGCCTATCATTCACTATCATTCACTATTTTAATTGTTCTTTTGTTTGGTTTGTACAGTCATGTTTTCAGACTCTCTCTCCATCTCCCTACACAGTCTAATTCATTTGACAAAAAAGAGACAAAACACAATAAAAACACATTCAGTACAAATCTGACTCATAGCATTATTATTTATCGTGAATATAATTATAATACGTTATCGTGAATTCCTGATATCGTAAAATCTGATATCATGACTGAACCAAGGAAGGTTTCACAGTTCAGTCTTTACAAATAAAAAGGGTAAAGTACGTTATACAATGCCACATGGT